AGTCATGACAAGATTGCATTTTCAAGCATGAATCAATTTGTAAATTATCTCATTACAGTTAAAGACCAATGAGGTCATTATAACATATAGTTTTATTTTATTTTTGGTTTTCGCTAACTTGCCTTTAAAAAACAAACAAACTTTCATATTTAAAGTAATCTAACTCAGTTTGTGGGTTAAAATATCATCGCTACATCTGCAAAGATGATGCAGGATGGGGAGAGTGGGGGCAGAAATTAATTTTACAAAGCATATGCTATTAATAAAACAAAATATAAGCAAGATCTGGGGTGAAGCAGAGAAAATACTTCTTTCTCAGGGTCCAGTTCTTGTGATTTCTTTCTTCTGTCATAGCATATTGTGTCTCCTAATTTTAGAAACTTGATTATTCATAGGCAGTTCATTCTGATGCAGCAGTTTTGCTGTTTTTCAACATAGAAAGAAATTGGACAAGTTCAGAAAGTTTGTCTAATCTTCTCATCTGACTGTCTGGAGGGTATACCTGCTTCTGGCATTCTGTAGCAGTTGCTAGGAGCTCTTTCCTAACCCTCTGCAGCTCCCAGCATAACTTAGGCTCCAAATAACCTGACAATGTCTGATTCTTTATTGCTTTGACCACATTGTTTTTCACTTAGGGAATGCCACTCACTGCTCATTGAACAATAAGAATGCAGTTGTGTAGATGTAGAATTATTAGAATAGCTGTTTCGGTCTCATCAATATCAAGGTTGGCAAACATCCCCTTTCTTATCTGTAACAAAAACCAACCAAGGCGATGTGAAGGATGCTAAGAGAGGCAATATGGATGAAACAATTTATTAGATTTATAAGAGCTGAAGGAAAGTGCTAAAGCTATCCATCTTCTATACTTTATTGAGAACAGGACCAATGACTTAGACTATCAGGACAGTATCTCCACGGCAGAATTGAAATCTTAAAGTAAGCAGAGAATAAGTGCATACATTTTAGGAGAAGAGGGATCAAAGGCAGCCGTAAGAAGTGCATGTAAGCCTTGAAATACATTGAATACAAATCTGTCTGCAATGGTTACGCAGCAACATAACTTTGTAAATAGAGATCTCATTTCAGAAGGCTTTAAAGATTTTTTTTGACTTAGTCCTTTCCTCTGTTGGAAATCATAAGTCTAAACACCAGCTGACAGCAGGCAAAATTATTGTTTGGGTCATATGAAATGCATGTGTATGTGTGGATAAATAAAACTCAAAAGAATGTGAAGAACAAATAATAACATTTAATTGAAAATCTTCATGAGGCAGCTCTCCTCTTTTGGCTTGGTGAAATTATCAGAATAAGTCAAATTGGATGAAAAAAATCTCTTCTGTGTTTCAAAGTGTCTTGAGCACATGGGAGTTTGGAAAGTAGGTAAATCTAAAGGCATTTGCTTTAGAACCTCAACAATTTCAAGTTCTAACATGCTCATTTAAGAGTTTATTCTTTTACTTTAGACACCAATTTATATATATATATATATATACACACACACACACACACACACACACATTTGGTCTACATTCCATCAGACAGAACTGGTTTCAGGCCCCCCTTTGCTGTTTACAATCTATGTGACTTGGGGCAAGTTTTATTTATCTTCTCTTTGGCTGAATTTCCTCAGTTGTAAAATGAGAATAATAATAGTCCTTACTGAAAAAATGAAATTTGATAGTGAAATGAAAGTAGTTAGCCCAGTGCTCAATAATAAATATTGGCTATTATTATCCTGAACCAGCCATCAAGCCTAAAAATATTACTCTAATATTCCCCCACCTTTCTATGTGAAAGCTGGCTCTTAAGAATTAAGACCCTCATTCCAGAGGGGTGTTACCTCACACCCAGAAGGAAGAAATGCTGTAACAGAGAAGCTAAGAAGATCCTAAACAGACAGGACTATCTGGGTTTCCCCCAGTCAGTCTATTACTATTAGATCATATCCTTTTTGTCCGATCACATTTCCATATGGCTGTCCCTACTTCATCAAACCTAAGCATAAAATCAGTTAGCTTCCCTTGTGTCTTTGAGACTTCATTCTGAAGGTGCCCATGTCATGTAAAACTATGATCAAATACATTAGTTACGCTTTTCTCTTGTTAATCTGTCTTGGTTATAGGGGTGTCAGCTGTGACCCTTAGGATGGGGAAAAAAAGGAACACCACCTTTCCACCTCTGTACTACCATCATTCAGAGAAAGCTTAGTGAAAGAGCAAGTGAGGATGCCTGTTTCCCTTAAAAACAGGCTATGAATTTGAGAGGCAGAAGTCAGAAATGTTCATTTATTTAACAAATATGTATTGAGTACTTGCTATGTACTCATTTCTGTGGTAGAGATTCAGCAGTAAGAAAAGCAGATGAATTGCTTTACTTGGTGAAACCAGGAACATTTGAATAAATGCTCTTTGATTTTAGAAGGAAAAAAAATCTAAACTTTATGACAAAAAGTAAGAATGATTTCCAAATAAATATCTTAAAGTCACAATGCTTCACTTACCTCTATTCAGCAAGCATAAAATTGTGATCCATTCCTCAAAATTGGAAGATTAGAGACACAATTTTATAGATAGACATAAAGTGATAAAATCTTAAAGCAAAAAGTGTACTTTTTACTCTGTTTCTTTGACTCTTCCTCATATACATTAAGTTTTTCTATTTGACATAAAGATAATAATTTTTTCTATATATCCATATCTATATTTATATCTTCCTTTCATCTCTTGTTATAAATTTCCTCAAGGGTAGTGTACCCAAGCTAAATTCTTTCATAACTAAGAGTCTACATTTTATCTTCTAACATGTCCACTTGGCACATTTTAGCTCCTGCCCCTTTATTTCTTTTTCTAGTTTATAGCATGGTACTCCTGAATATTCTTTTCACAATACTCAAAACAGTTTATGTGAAGGAAACAAATCTAATTATAAAATAGTAGTTGATTAAGCTCTATCAATCTCCCTGAGGGAACAAGGTAGAAACCTAATGGTGATGGATCCTGTCACTCTGCCCCTAAATACAAAATTATTGAATTAAAGGCAATATAATTATTAGCAAATCTGGCAACACCATGATTTTTAAGAGTACTATATTGCTTATTGGACAGGCACATTTGTCCTTGGTTTTCCTGAAGCCTTCAATTGTCCTGGGCAATATCCATCTTCATTGAGTTTTGAAATCCCAGCAGTACAAGCAAACCAGATGGCCCCCCCAAATGAAGATGAATGCATATAACTGTCATTCAAAACTCTCAATATTTGATGTTGTCATATGCGGTGGAGTTTGCCGCTTGTGCAAGAGAGGAGTGGTGTGTTTCTGTCCGTGGTCCTGAAAAGTCTGCCTTAGCTTCAGATGAAGAAGAGCCATTAATGAAAACAATAATATATATATAAAATATATATTATATATATTATAAATATATATATAATATATATATACTTTTTTTTGAGACAGAGTCTCACTCTGTTGCCTGGTCTAGAGTGCTGTGGCATCAGTCTAGCTCACAGCAACCTCAAACATCTGGGCTCAAGCAATCCTCCTGCCTCAGCCTCCTGAGTAGCTGGGACTACAGGCATGCACCACCATGCCCAGCTAATTTTTTCTATATATTTTTAGTTGTTCAGCTAATTTCTTTGCATTTTTAGTAGAGACAGGGTCTCACTCAGGCTGGTCTTGAACTTCTGACATCGAGCGATCCTCCCACCTCGGCCTCCCAGAGTGCTAGGATTATAGGCATGAGCTATCATGCCTGGCCCAATAATAAATATTACAAATCATATTTAAAAGTATAGTTCTGACTTAGTGCTGTTTCTTAGATATACATGTGCTTCATTTATAAGTTTTTCACAGTGCTGATTTGATATCTCTTTTTAATTATCCTCTCTCTCTCTCTCTCTCTCTCTCTCTCTCTCCCTCCATTGACCTTGGGTCATGGGAAGAAAATGTCAGGGTTTGTGGGAGTAAAGGAGCATGTATTTATTAAAGGCAGATGGTTGAACTGCAGCTAGAATTTGTTGCTCCCTATTATAAAATCCTATTGCAAAGATTTTACAACTCAACTATAAAAAATTATACTGTTGGATAAAACTTAGAAAAGAAATGACTCTTTGCAGGCTAACTAATTAAGGGAAAATCCTATAACCTACAAGTTGTGCTCATGGAAAATAAAGTAATGCTCGACTGTAAGTGTCTAGCTATCCACCACCCATTGTGTGGATTAAAATTTGAAAATTAATAACTAAGTAGCGTATTTAAGACTTCAAACCCCAGAGTTGTATAACGCTAACCAGTTAGGATTGGTATTCAGGGAAAAACATTGATAGTGGTGCCAAGAAATGGCTGAGATGTTGAAGTTCATGAGCCAGATGTTCTGCATCTGTTCTACTTTTAACCAATATCATTATGAGGAAGAGGTTTAGTGAGTTGGCAAGAAAACCCAATGTCTGATGCTTTTGAAATCATTAAATAAGATGACATTACTTCATCTCATATCAGAACCACCTGAGGCCATTTAGAATAGGTATAGAAATTTCTCTAAATGATGGAATTTAAAAGTAGAAAACAGGTCAGGTCCAGATTTAAGATATTTGGTCTTGTACTATAAAGTGATTCATATATCTCTAGCCCAACAGAAAAATAGGGTGAAAAATCCATCTCTGTTTCCTGGAGTGGTTGAGAAAATAAATCCTAGAATTCTAATGTGAAACATGTTTGAAACTTGCATTTCAGATATCTTAAACCATTAATATGTTTGTCATAAAAAATTACTAGTATTTGATCATATGGTAAATTCATTCAGCTGTGACTATTCAGATAAAAGAAAAGAACATAGAAATGATAATTGTATGAGAATGCTTCACTAATTCTTGTGAATTAGTTAATTTATTAAATATTATGCATTGAACACTGAGAACAATGACTGGCACATAGCAAGCCCTTCTACTATAAATGTGTTTTGTTCTTGCTGATGTTATTTTCTTTATTGTTGTCATTACAACAGATGGGGTCAAAAGCATATCTCCTAGACAACGAAACCAATGTGTCAGTTAAGAGGTGTTTGGTAAGCCCATTTCCCTCCTCTTCCTTCTCTTCATCTCCATCCCATTACCTTAACTATGGATCTCAGTATGTATTTTTTTATCCTGATAATCTTGGGTTAAGTTATTATAGTTTAAATGAAATCTGATAGTGAAAAGGCACAAATGTCTCTCTGGGTGATCTAATAATGACAAAAGTGTCTTTGATTCAAATAATACAAATATATTAAAAAGAAAGTGAGGCTTTTAGTCTGGAATCCAAAAGGTAAAACAATAGCCTCAGTTTCCTCATGTGGAAATGGAAATAATAAGACCCATCTTACAGAATATAGGTGGCTTAAACTAAATATCTTCAAAGTAGTTAGCACAATGCTTGGCACTTGGTATCTAAGTGTTTTTAAAAAAATTACTTATTTTGAATTTTTGCTCTTGTTCTTGCTCTTATTTTTTTCAGTGGGACCAGAGTAAGCATGGAATTGCAGAGATTCTGAAATTGTTCTGGAAGTAGACATCACACAGTAAAGCAGTGCTTCTGCAACTTCTCCCATTTAAGGTGATAACATTAACTCAATCTTCAAGGCCCAGGGAGTTGTCATGCCAGCCCCCATTTTGTCTCTGTATAAACTTTCCCTTATATATCTCTCTGGTGCCTTCCTCCTAAATGGAAAATACACTTAAGGTGTGCTCAGTCAACCATGGGGCATGTGAAGCCACTTTATTCATCTCAGGGCAGCAGTTCCTACGTGGTAGTAATCTGTAGACTCGGGAGTCATTGAATCCAAAAACACTCTGCAAAAGAGAAGGCTCAAGATTTCAGGGTGGTCTCCTTTTAGTTTTGTGCCCTAATTTCTCCATGGCTTTTACCTCTGCTCCAAACTAGAGGCCATCTCTTTGTCTTTGCGTGAAGATGCAAGAAACTGGGATATCTAGTTTCTTGACCACTCTATGAGACTGACACGTAATCCAGGTAGCCTTCAACATTCTAAGTGTCCCTGCTCCCTGGGTTTTCCATGGCTAACCATCTTCTTAAATTTGTTTTATATTTCCCAAGACACACATTTTATGAACACTTTTTTGTTTCACATCTTTTCTGGGTGGGTGTCTCCCTGTAAGCCTCAAATCTGATAAATCTGCCTGATTTATCATTTTCCTCTTTGCCTAACCCTTTACCACCAAATTTGTTTTGTTTTATTTTAATTCTAGCTTTTGTTTTATTTAGGTATACAAAAGTGACTAAGCCCATACATAATCTGTTCAATTCCATATTTATATTATAATTACTTCTGCCAAAGTCAGTCAGTTATCCCAAATTGGGGGGTGTTTGCAACATAACTCAAGGAAATCAATGGAAGTACTCATAACTCAGGTGACCCAAACTAATCTTTTGATCTGGGAAAATATTATATATCTGTCTTTTCTGCATTTAACCATTTTTTCCTGATAAACATATATTGAGCATTATTCAAGGTTTGAGTATGCTGGTTTCATATATCGGAAAATGACGTATAAAATCATATTTATTCACTACCTGAAATGCAAACTTTGTTTTGGTAATTGTTTTTTGTTTTAGCAGTTTGATTTGTGCATGGATGTAGGATGACCTACTGGAGACAGAAAAGACGGCAGAAGAGCCATTTTCCTGGGTAACAGTGACAAGAAGAAAGGCCCACGTTTTCCAGATGTAACACACTATAAAGGGTTTGCTGAGCCCTTGCATCTTCTGAATCCAGTTCCCTGGCATAACTTAGCAGGCTGACCATGCATACACTGCTAAGAAATCATCTTTTATTCTTTTGAACACTTTCTAGAACTTGCTCATGAAGAGAGGAGGATGAAAATCCTGTTTGTTTTAATACTTTAGAAATTCACTTGTATCGCTAAGCTGTTTTGAACAGTCAACTGTTGAATCTTTGGCTGCCCCTGTATGTAGAGTAAGAAGATAATTGCTCTGATCTCAGGGTGAACCATCTGCTAGTACAAATTGCTCTGCTATCTGCTTTATTGAAACGCTTGTGTTCGTTATATTATGTTGAAATGTTCATGAAACGTGGTTTATACTAAGCTGTGTTCCTGGAAAATTTGATTCTATAAATGGGCAGAACACCCTTAATTGCAAAGGCTCTTCTCTCTCTTTAGAGTCTAAACTGCTTTGCTGATTTGATCTGGGGCCCCAGAGAGCCAGCATCCTGTGTTACTGGCTGATTATTGATGCCTGGGAGGATACAGCAATGACAATCCAAATTTACAAGACTCATAACAGTTTTCAAAACCTCTTTCAAAAAAAGATGTTCCTGAACTCAGGAGTCTGAAGAAAATATGTCCTGTTGTTATGATATAATTCTAGTGGCTCTTGTCGATCCTGCTATTTGAGAGTCCAGTTAGTGCCTCATCCATCAGAGTTATATTTGTATAGTAATACCAATCAGAGGAAGGTATGATTTGATAAATGCCCATTCTCAAATCTTGTATTTTAGTGTGTTAATGTAAGATTAATGACCATAATGATTTGAAATAGAAATTTTTTGATTTGTTTCTTTATGTCTTCCAGTATCACATACATCTGTGAAAGATATCTATGGCATAAGGGGAGAAAATAATAATTTAAGTAAAGGATAGGGATAGGGTCTTCAATTAATAAGACATTGTTGACATTTGTAGGTGGATTTCACAATTCTCCAGGCATACCACATAGAAACTTTGGAAGTAAAAGTAGAAGGAGGCAGAGAGACCACATTAGGAGATTACCAATTTATTCCTGCTACAATATTTCTTATGCCACCATGAATAAATCTAATGCTAACTTATTTATCTGTCTTTCCTTTGAACTACAACTTAAAAAGTCATAAAATAAAGGTATCATGGCAGATTTCTTTTTTTTTTAGATTGAATATTGTAGTGATTTTTACTATCTGGGGCCCATTGATGTAGTATGGGCATTAGGGAACCTAGAATCCCCACGTTGGACTTCTCCCACTGTTGTCTTCAAGATCCATGATGATTTGTATGCAGCAAATATTTGAGTAAAATGACTTTACAAATGATGCATGCAAATTTTGTATAGAAGGCTGAGAGTGAGTAGACCCAGCTTTAAGCAAAAGGTTACGTGCGTGACCAGTGAGATACTTCTACTGTTCTCCAGTAGGCTAGACTAGACAGACAGGAATTTAGGCCCCTGCACAGTAAAGTTAGTTTAAAAATTCCTCCTTTATCTTCTTACCTGTTTTGGACAGCCAGGACCAAAAGCAGAGCTATTTATTTGAAACCTCTCTCCTCTCTCTCTTCTTCATCTTTCATCAATTTGATTCCCTTTATATTATCATTATTTACGTTTTGTTTAACTAGACAAATAATTTGTCATGGATTGCATTTTATTTGCAAGAGGCTCTAGTAAGATGGCAACAAGGCATGCCCAATATATCATAATTTAGTAGCTTCTCTTGTAACTATACTGAACTAATGGTGGAAAAAATACATATAAACAACTCTGAGGACAGATTTTGAATGATCCAGTAATTTTGATTTATACGTGGTATTTGATGGAACTGTATTAGCAGTTAAAGTCAATGGCTAAATGATTCCCAGTACAAAATGAGCCAGAAGTACAAAAGAAGCTTTACAATGCATGTTAGAGAGCTCCCAGCCTCCCAGCTTAAATTTCCAAAGTGCAGTGTAAATTACAGGACTGGTTGTCACTTCTAACTAACAATTCTACCCAATACAGTCTAGCTAGGTAATTTGTCCATTATTCCTTTATGAAACAGTAAACACCAGCTTAATCCCATTGGCTTTTCTAAAGCAAATTGCTTTATCTCTCCTATCTACTGCAGAGGAGGAGTGAATCTCCTAGTTCTGATGACAGTAAGTCCCACTCAACAAATTACATGTATAACCTGCTATTGGTTCCAAATACTTCCCATATCTTCTAGTAGCTTTGGGTGCTGGTCATCTGGAGCTGATTTCAACCTCCCCAAATGTTCTTGGTGGTAGGACTCTCATATTCTTTCATTTTCCCCCCTTGTCCAATATTCTCTCTCACCCCCAAATAATCATTTTATCTTCATTTGTTTTCCCTATGGCTTTTCTTATCACAAAGAAGAAATGAATGAGAGCTTTGGAAATCAAAATCCAAGTACTCTATTTGCCAATATTAAAAGAAAGAGAAAAACATGCCAAATATCAATAAGAATCTCAAATCCAGCCAAGCAAAATATGCAATTAGGTAGACAGATGCTGGCTCGGCAGCCCCTTGCATAGACCGACTTCTACTACTTCATTAATTTGACTTGCTTACTCTAGGCAGTTTGATCATACCTGCACAGCATATTTCTCAGCCAGAAATAGATCCCCAAAGATTGCAGTTTTTAGGAAGGAGCATTCAAATATGAGATCTTTGATCCTTTCAGGCCAGATGGGAAAGCTAATAGATTTGCATAAATGCTACCCAGGTATCTGTATTGTAGCAGTGATGTGGAAAGTCTAATTCAAGAGTTTGGATGTGGACCACCGAATCCTCTTCCTTTAACCTAATCATGGCATGTATGTGCAGAGCGCAGTCAATCCCTACATCTACCCATTGGTCTTTATTGTTCTATTTTGAATGACAGAATGCAATCGCTGATACTATCATCTATTTAAAAAGAATCTTTGGAATCATCCAATCATTTATTCACTCACTAAGTATTTACTAAGCTCTTTTGCTAAGCATTGTAATGAGCATGAGAGATGTAAAAATGGACACTGCTTGGTAACTGTCTTTGTAGAACTCAAGGTCTAGAGGGAAAGACAGACATGCAAATAGACTATTAGAACCACAATTATCACAATAATATGTACAAATAATAGACATGTGAACCAAACAGGCTAGAAGCCCTCAAGAGAGAGTTAGGATTACAGGAACAAGCGGTGTCTGAGCATGTTTTTAAAAGGTGCCTAGGAATTTGCAACTTGTGGTAGGGAGTTGTGTGTTGGTGAGGGCATGGAGTGGGGTGTGCCCACTACTCAATTAGGAAGATTTTATTGAGCAATTACTGTGTTTTCAGTCTTACACTAGGTAAATTCATTATGCTGACACAACTCCCTTACTCACCACCTGATCATCCAGCTAGACATCTCTTACCAGATGGAAAAGAAGGGGATGGAATGGTGGGGCTGGGAGGAGAAAACTCTGAGGTTCATTACCTGGAGGTCATTTGGAGAACAGGATGAATGTGATGCAGCTCCTCTTTGGAAGTGCATCTTCCAGTGAGGTGCCAAGATGCTGCCATTTAAGAAGACACTAGGCAGAGTTTTACTCTTTAATTTCCCTCCTCATTAAGCTTTCACTTCTGAGGTGTGAAAATGACTTCAGGCTGGCAATAAACTGCTGGAGAAGTCATTATTGTAAAAATGATCTTGCTCCCAAAGGGGATGAAATGGTACAAAGCACAATTGCTCCAAGATCAGCTCCTCTGTAGGACAATGATTGTTCAAATGTTTCAGTTATCATAAGAATAAAAAAGGGCTGGCTAGTTACAGCAAGAAAAGATGAAGCACAAAGTA